CAAGTTTCCGGCGCGCACCAGCGTGGAGGTGGGGTTGGATTTTACGCACGAGACTACTGTTATCGCAATTTTGTGTACCCAATTTTTTGCCTTTTTTAAAATCTTCATGCTTTTTTGCAAAATCCTTTCAAATTTATCCAAATAATTCCTCGGGACCACTATTTCATGTTGTTTAAATAGATTTCCAAAATGAGTCGCTACATTTTCTGTCTCATGCTAATAATGTACAGGACTGGAGATGATCATCAAAAGCAAACGTGTGCTCGCCAATTTATCTTTTGATATTTACAATGAGGTTTTTTGCAAAATTAATAGTTTAATCCCAAACTAGTGATATTTAGTTTATTAGGTGTCTAGTTCACTACTTTCCGAAGTAAATTCGGATATTATTTAACGGTGTTTCTGTTGTGTCCTTGCGGCACAGCGCGCTTCTTCCATTCACCCAGTTAATCTTAAAGTTATTGCCCTTACTAGACTTAAGTATATCTCCTGGCTGGAATGGGTCCTTAATTCTCTCCGGGAATGACCACCCCATGCGAAGCAGTCAGCCAAGCGGCCAGACAACGATGCATCATGCAGGATTTGTAAAATCTTCCCCACTTGCGAGCTAAATTATGCGGCTTCTCCCATACATTTGACCAAGTGTCGAATATGTCATCTTGCTCGCATCCTTTGACATGTTGCGCTTAATGTGACTCTCTTCATAGCGTCTTAAGTCCATGGTCCTTTTATTCGGGGTCGCTGGTAGAAGGCATAAGTGCAAATGACGCCGCCTGCAAACGCCTAGTAGCTTTAAATATATAAGGAATCAGATATTTTTCCTTAGCAGCACTTTCTGTAAGCTCTCACTATTTGCACCAAAGTGCCTCATCTTCCTAACATTCGGTGCGAGCTTGCACTTTTAATCTCGACTACCTGGTTTTTATACACAGGTGATGGAGCAGGAGTAGGCAAGGGTCGTACAATCGCGGGAATCATTTACGAAAACTACCTTCAACACAGAAAAAAGGCAATTTGGCTCTCAGTTTCTAACGACCTGAGGGTTGACGCTGAACGGGACTTGGCTGATGTCGGTCTCGGCAGAGTGAAAGTACACTCACTAAATAAGGTAAGTAGGTGCTTCTTCGTCTCTATTTTGCTTAGTGCATACCGTCTGCCATACATCATGAAAAGATAAATTTCTTGCTAAAATGCCTGACCTTAATCAACCTGTTTCTGTTTAGTTCCGTTATGCCCGCATCTCAGGAAAGGCAAATGGTCGCGTAAAAAAAGGCGTCCTTTTCTCCACCTATTCTTCGCTTATCGGCGAGAGTCAAGGGAGCGCAAAAGCAAAGTATAAAACACGTCTGAAGCAGATTGTGCATTGGTGTGGAAAAGACTTTGATGGCGTGGTAAGGCTCGATGTACTTTATGTAAAGTTGGCCTCGACTATCGCGATTCTTTTTTACTCAATTAATTTGTTGTCCTTTCTCTGTAGATTGTGTTCGACGAATGCCACCGAGCAAAAAATCTAACCCCAAGCGGCTCTCAAAAGCCTACCAAAACAGGCCTAACGGTTCTGGAGCTACAGAATCGGCTTCCCAACGCTAGAATCGTCTACGCTTCTGCAACCGGAGCCACAGAGCCACGTAACATGGCCTATATGACTAGGCTGGGCCTGTGGGGTGAGGGCACACCCTTCCCAACATTCCTCTCCTTTATCCAGACACTGGAACGCCGCGGTGTCGGTGGCATGGAACTAGTAGCAATGGACATGAAACTTCGTGGCATGTATATAGCTCGTCAGCTTAGCTTTCAAGGCGTCAACTTTACCATACAGCCTGTTGAAATAGAACACGTGGAATTAAACCACGAGCGCTTCATCAATGTATATAATCAGTCCGCAGACTTGGTAAGTGCCTTCACAGCCTTATGCCTTAGTCACTTATAAGAACGCAGAATGACTTGTTGGGAATTTCTTTTTTAACTGCTGACTTTTTGAAGACCTTAGTTTACCGTCCGTTTTCAATGGGTTTAATGCACAAACTTGGACGATAATTCCAACGGCATCCGTCCGGTCAGTTCTACACGGTTAGGAATGCTGAGTTGGAGTCCTGAGGGGGTTTGCATTTGTCCTCGTTTCCTGAATCAATGAAGTAAGCTTGTTCATGGGTTGTGAGCCGCCATATTAATCGATTTTAGCTCAGAGTAA